ACAGCTCAGCAATGAACTTGTTCTACAGTAAAAATGTAGAGCTTGTCAGCATACAAATAATAATGAAAGCAAGCATCTGTTATGGAGTATTAATTTAAAATGTGTTACATTTGTTTATGCTGTGCAATATTTGTTTAATGATGCAAAGATGTATTGCATTCTTTTATGTTGCATTTGTTGAAATCTGTAAAGCTGTGCTACTTTGTCTAAAACACCTGTTTGGTCTAATAGAGAGCTGAGTGGCCAATAGCTAGGCAGGAGAGAAAAATAGGGGCTGGCAGGCAGAGAGAATAAGGGGAGAAGAAGAGAGAAGAGGGAGGATCGAGAAAAGGAGGACAGGAGGATGCCAGGGGCCAGCCACCGAGCCACCCAACCAGCCACTGAGTAAGAAGGAAAGAAAAGTATATAGAATAGAGACAGATAAAAGCCCAGAGGCAAAACGTAGACATGATAATTTAAGTTGGCTAGAAATAAGCCAAGCTAAGGCTGGGCATTTATAAGTAAGAATAGGATGCCGTGTGTTTATTTGGGAGGTGAGCGGGGGGGGGGGGGGGGGGGGGGCAAAGAGTTAAAAAAAAGAAAAATCAACTTCAAGCCTCCAATGAAAGAGAAGAGCAGGAGCAAGTGAAAGAGAAGACGAAGAGCCTTGATATTTAAGTGCTAGCTGAAGAAGAGTTGAGTGACACTTAACTTTTCAGATTTCAGCATCAGACACGTCTGAGGAAAGCAAGAGGTGACGCTGAATGTTGCCACCAGGACAGGGGGTTCTTCCTTCAGCATTCCTGGCAGATGTTACCCTGTTTGCACTTTAGTACCTCCAGTGCTAGACGGTTCCAAATGCCGAGCTCACATCTGGACGTGACTTTCTTTGTGATGTCCCAGCCTATCCTCCTCTTTCTCAAATAGTAAAAGTCTAGCCAGACTCTTGTTTCCAACAGCATACGTGTCCTCCTGAGAGTCTCAAGCTGTGGAGTGTGGAGTGCACTGGATGCAATGTATCGTGAATGTTGTTTGGCATGGTTGTTATTGTTAAGACTTTTACTCCATGCTTGCTCAGAGGGAGACAACTTGGTTTCTAGTCCAGATTAGTCTGGACTCTGCTTTCTCCCCACATCATCTCAATATCAAGTTCCTTCATCCTTGTGTGATTGCTCTTTTAACTCTGTACAACTCTAATAGTATCTCTCAGAGATGTTAGGAGACACTTAAGAAGGTATATGAAGTGGTTAGTGTAGATGCTCAGTGAATGTTTGCTAAGTAGTAATAAAACGAGGGTAACACTAACAATGAGCCCCGCTTGTCATCCATATTTCCATTATGAGTCTTCACACTGTATGTTGGGATTCTCTGCCCAATCCTGTCTCTTCTAGTTGGCTATGAGTAATTTGAGAAGAGGGATCCTATCTTCTTAGAGTCCCATTACCTAAGACTGAACACATGTCTAAGAAAATGATGAGGCTGGGAGATTGCTCATGAAGTAAGAGTGCTCGTTGCACCAGTGAGGGCCTGAATTCAGAACCTAGCATGGATGTAAATAGCAGAGCATGGCTATGCATGGCTTGCAACCCCAGTGTCATTGTGGGGTGGAGATAAGAGGTTTTCTGAGGCTTGTTGGCCACCAATCAAGGTCTAGGTTCAGTGAGAGAACCTGTCTCAATGGAATAGGGTGAAGAATGTTAAACAGGACATGCTACATTCTCCGCTATCTCTGCACACATAGATAACACACACACACACACACACACACACACACACACACACACACACAGAGGACATTATTGAAAATGGATATTTACCAATCTCTGGCTTACTAGGTTGCCCTATTTTAAACGTTAGATTACAGCTCAAGTAATCCACTAACTCTTCTATTACAATGTTTTATTAGTACTAGGAGGAGGTCTCAAAGCATCCACATTATGAACAATCCAAATATGTCTGTTCTACTCATGTGTACGTCTCTGCTCTGACCATCTCTGCTGCCAGCAACACTGCGTTAAAATAGACACCTGCTGCCATGCCCTACTGGTGAGGTTGCTGGTGTCTGGGCTAAGGAGGTGAAGAGCATGATTCATCCCTACATGCCGAAGAGAGTGCTGGAGCCAAGTCTGAGACTGGTTTCATTACCTGGCCTTGGACAGTCCTGGCCACTGCCTAAAGCCTTGTTTGAGCTTTATTTCCTTTCTTTATATAAATTATACCATCCCAGAGATCCTCTGGGGTCAAAAGCCATTTCCTGCATGCACACTTTTCTTTTATTCCCTCCTCAGGACCTCGTTTCCTTATTGTAGGACAAAAACCCTACAGGGTTTTGAATGGGACAAACTGCTCTGTGGGAAGGAGCCTATGCTTGTCATCCAAAGCTGCACTCGTCCCAGTAAAAATATTACTTAAAGTTTACCCCAAATATGCTTGTTCATGTTACAGCTCAGTGCTATGCACTGCACGTACCATTATTGTTTACACAAATTTGATTTTGGATTTGTAGAAGCTAATATAATTGCATATCAAAAACAATAAGTTTACTGGATATAAATGAAAAAAAAAATAACCTTAAGTTTGGTTAGGGTTTTGTTCACTGGGTCATGCTCATGATGCCTGTCTCCATGCTTTGACTGTTAGCCCCAGACTAAATAGTCATTTATTTGATTTTTGTTGGTAATAAAACAGGAATCAGTTAACTGCCCCTTCAAACATAAATATTTAATCCAAACAGTATCGGGACAACTGGAGGACAAAGAACACAACAGAAGGGCCAGGGCGTCCTTATCTCGCCTGTAGTAACTGCTCGGCTACCCTTTATTGCCCCAGTTCTCTCTATTTGAGGCAGCTGGCTTCTCAGCACTCCAACGCTGCTGGATCAACACAAGTGTTGGCAATAACACTTATTACGAACAGGGTGTCTTGGCTTGGTGAGGTCTCACGCTTGCTTTCTCAAGTCTGCTCCTTTCTTTGGGGATAGACTGGTCCTGGGAAGCTGTTTCCTGGCTGGAGACAGCCCACAGCCTTTGCCTGTCTCTGTCTTCTCATCTGTCCCCACTTGCAGACCCACAGCATCGTGACATGGGAACCACGTGTCATACTTGCAACCCCTCAGCACCTGAGTCTATTCTTCCCAATCTTCATCCTTTCATAGACATTCTAGAGGAAAAGGGGAAAGGGCATGTGACATTGGCATGGAGAAGATGGCTTGAAACCCAACAGGGATGGGGTGTAGCAAAGCAGCTGGGTATCTGGGCTACATGGATTACTGTTAATCACAAGATAAGACATTGGTGTCACTGAGCAAGAGACAAGCATTGTATAAATTATCTATCGCAGCAACAAATTGCTTGATGGCTTAGGACGTGGGTCACCTCAAAATTCTTTGGATTACTAATATGACACAGCTCTCACTGTGTTAATGTCGAGGTTTCTGCAGAGCTGCAATCCTTTTTCTGTATTTGGGGTGAGAATCAGTTCTGTCTTCAACTTCCAGAATCTGTTTTTTGTTGTTGTTGTTGTTTTTGTTTGGTTTTTTTTTTTTTTTTTTGACTCATTGCATTTTCAAAGCCATGTGGTCTTACTCTCCTGAGGGGAAGGGATATAGGCCAGGAGGAAGACCAACAGAACTCAGAGGCCTTTTCGTGAAAAGGGGTGGTCAATTTAAACTTTTCAGCCAAGCCCAGTGGGGTGGTGGTGCCTGTGATCCCAGCACTATGGAGGTTAAAACAGGAAGAGGTCAACTTCCAGCCTGGGTCCTGTCTCAAAACTAAGCAGACAAATAAACAGCAGGACAAAACAGCAGGGGACTAGCCCAGGATGTGTCAGGCCTTGGGTTCAATCCTCAGCACCGAACACAAACCATCCAGTGCAAACTCCTGGTTCCCTCGGGTTGGTTCCGGTACAGTTGATTTTGAAGACTGTCTTGGAAGATTTCTTTGCTCACAGAAGTTAATCACTGCCCACAGCATCTCTGTTTAGCAGGCTTCCAGGCAGCCTCAGTGGTACTTGAGGGTGAATTCTTCACCCCAAGGTCTGTGGTTCTTCCCTCATCGGGGTGACAAAGACCCCGCCTTCTCCTAACTCTCCTAGCAACGTGGTCTCATTTAACCTTTGCATCATTTCTTCCCCGTAATTGGGGGGCTTTGATCAGATGTGTTGAAGGAAGATGGATTTTGCCCTGTCATAGTCCCTCACAGATACTTCACATCCTTGAACCCAGGCCTGGGCTTTTGGAGACCCTTAACACAACTGTCAGTTTGCAGCCTGCTTTCCATGTGAGAGCGCTGAGGCTGGCTCCAGGCTTGTCACATGGTCAAGGTGACAGGTGGTCAGAGCTGGGAGAACCCACTAACTTCAGACAGGGAGGCAAAGAGTGGACTAACAAGGCAAGGCTGATCCCTTGGGGAGCCCGCAGACAAATGAACGCATTAGCTCTGGAGAACTTGACATCCTGTTTCCAAAGTGCCCAGAATTCTCTTGAATGCCGCTCCCAGACAAACCTTGCTCTGGGCCAGGCTGAGTCAGTCATGAGAAGAAGGAAGTAGGCTGCACCTAGGAGGGATTGCCCCTGGCACAGGCACCACAGAGACATTCTCGAGTTTATTGTCTCTGAATAGAGGAAGTGGGCACCCAAAAAGGTGAACGGATTGGCCCAAGGTCACCCAGGAGTCTACAGTGCAGGGCTCCCTGTCCCCAGCGAATGGGTATGATTCTGGTCAGGGAAGCACATGCTGGTCCCCTTAAAGGTGTGAGATCTGTGCAGCTTCTGCGCCCACTCCCCTGTGCGCCCCTCTGCACAGGTGGCGCCCCGTGCCCTGTGGGGGCGGCAGCGAGCAGGACCGCAGGGACACTCAGGCTGGCGACTGTGGAGCCCACGGAGCCGGCTCTGCTAGGAGAAGGATGCTCTGCATGCCCAGGTGAGTCCAGGCTGGGGTCTCCAGCCTGCTGCCGGTGCCAGGCGCCTGCCCGCTCCCCAGCGCGGGGGCTGAAGCCCGCATCCAGGGGGGCGGCGGCGAGGGCGCAGGCAGTAGCGGGGAGCGCAGCACAGCGCAGCGCAGCAGCGGCAGAAGCTGGGCTCTGCGCTAAAGGTAGCCGCAACGGATCTGCCAGGGCGCCTCTCTCCCTAGCTTTCCGCAGCGGCGTGGTGCTGGGAGTGCGCCAGGAGATCAGAACCCCAGGAGTCCACGTGTGCAGGTGGGGATGCCGAGAGGGGGCGGGGCGGGATGTCGGGGTGGGGTGGGGGCTTCAGGGTTCTGTACTTCCGACACCCACCAGTCTTTGTCGAAGGGATGGGCTGTGTGTTGGTGTGGGTGGGTGGACTGTCTGGGTAGGACCTGTCTGTCTGCAGCGTGGGACCACTGAAGGTTGACCAGCTGCCCTCCTGCACTTGTGTAGGTAAGTACTTGTGAAACTGCGTGTGTGATCACTGACTGTATGAGGTTGTATGTGAAGAGAAGGAAAGGGAGGGAGGAAGAGAGAGAGGGAGAGAGATAAGGAGGAAGGAAGGAGGGAGAGAGAGATAGGTAGATAGATAGATAGATAGATAGATAGATAGATAGATAGATAGATAGATAGATAGATAGATGATAGGAATAGAGAGAAGCTTATGTTGTGTATCTTATCTTTATTGGTGTGTAATTTGATGTATCTCGGTAAACTGTAGATGATTGTGAGTGTGTGACTGAGTATGCCTTCTATGTGTAATGAGATACCTGTGTATAAGCAGCAGGAGTGTGTAGTAGCATGAGTGTGTGGATATTCTGTGCTGCATGACGATATCTCAGTCACTGGCAGTACTAGGGGCCATCCAGCCGTTGCCTTTCGGAGAATCCAGTCTCAATGGAACATGCTTCTTGTCCAGGCTTGCACCTTGCCCCGGCACACTGCTGGCTGCATTTGAAAGAAGCGGCTGTTGATTCAGGGCAATGCTAATTGGCAAAGGTGAGGAAGTCATGGCAAGTGCTTGGCTTCTTAGTGTTCGATAGTAGGAGAAAATCTTGGCGACTTTCCATCTGACCCATGAAAACAACGTTTCCTAAGGAACAGATTTGACGTGAATTGAAAGTGCGTTCCAAGGAGGGGACACAGATGCAAGTTTGCCCTCTTGGTGTTCATATTGTCGGGATGGATTCTTTGGGTGACCCTGGCTTGTAGTTGCTGATAGAGGTTTGTCTGGTCCTTGGAGATTTCAGCATCAGTGACCAAAGGAGAAGAGGTTGCTCACCGTTCCTTGTGAGGACAGCTAGGGAAGGAAAACACCATCGGTGATGGATGTGGTTGGTGTCCCAGAAACAAGGAAGTCAGAGAAAAGACAAGACCCACAGAGTTCCGAGAAGCAGTTCCCACCTAGGAAATACCTTTGTGTAGAAAAAAAAAATACAGAAAATAACCAGATGTTCCAACATTCCCAAATAATTTTTAAATGTTTCACTCATGCCTCCTCATTCTAATCTCTGTTGTGTTTGCATCATTTCCTCTTCTGGGGAATATCTTTGTTATAATTATTTTTATGTGATAGAGTCACAGTTGGTTTTTAAACTCTAGGAGAACTAGAGCACAGTCAAGTTGCCCAGAATGTCAAGGAGCCTTTAGTCCTCCTGTTCTGAGCAGGTAGGGGTCTCAGAACAATAGCATGCCTGGTTTCCCCGAAGTTTTCCGGGTTTTACTTCTAGCGTGATTCCTTGGGCCAACAACAAACTCACAGCCATCACCAGATTCTGTTCCTCCTCCTCTCACCCCCTTTCCATTGTCACAGATGGAAGACAGCACCTGGAACTGTCATAAACAACATCCCATCCCAGCATGTATCCTTGATTTGTTCCCCAAGTCATCTAAACAGGGTACTGATGTCACCTTTCATTTCTCCTCTCCCTTCACCAGAAGCTGCCAAAGTTTAATCTGTTGACAGTTTGTTTGTTTTCACGGACCCAATTCCCCCCTTTTTATTCTCACCATGGCCAACTTTATGAGGTGAAACCAATATTTAGGGGATTTCCAAAGATGGGAAGTGATACAGACTCTGATCATGGGGAAAATGCAAAGCAAAAGAATGAATGCCAGGAAGATGCGATCCTTGGGATAATGTGTGTCCAACTAAAAAATTGTCAGTTCTTGATGAGTGTCAGATTATGTGACTTAGCTCAGGTTTCTGCCTCTCTCTGTCTTCATTTCTTTACTTGTAAAAGTGGAAACAAAAAATTTCAACTAGAGTCTTGCCACTAGATCCTTTTGAAGGATTCTCTCAGCACCGAAACACTCTGATTGGCATTGTTTTAGCAAGAATAAGTTTACTTAATGTCTCATGTGAACCTATAAAAATTTGTAACCTTTGTTTGAAAAATAGTGTTTGATTTTTGGGGGTTGACGTGGATAAAGAAGAAAAGTGAGATGTACTGTTGGCTTAAGTTTGAGATTGAGGATTAAATGCAAACACCATTAGAATTGGAGGAGTTTTAAAGGTCACTCAGTTTTCATCTTTGTGAAGTGCCAGAGCCTACCTTATTAAGATAATGCCATGTTACATTATAATTCATGTTTTCTCCAGCCTCAACAGCACTGGCATTTGGGATAGATGATTCTTGTCCTGTGCATTGTAGGGTATTCAACAACACCCCTAGTATCCTTTAATAGCACCACAAAGTTACAACAACCAAAAGCAAACCCAGGCATTGCTAACTGCGCTCATGGAGGGACCCAGTCTTCCCGTACGCTAGTTGAGACTCACCGCTGCGGTTCACCCACAAGCCGGGTAGCCTTCTACAACAACACTTTACAACCAGACACTTGTTATGCTGTTGACTGCCTTCTTGCCCTGTCTCAGGTCTGCTACCCCCCGTACGCTCTCCTTTGTTCCTTATGGATTTTCACTGCCTTGTTTCTCGGCCTGCAAGTACTCAAGATGTGCTGAAGGCCGAGAAGCATTTCAGAGGCATTAACAGTCTTAATAACTCACATTAACCCAACCCTTGATACGTGCCAGGCACAGTTCTAAATGCTTTACGTGGATGGTTGCATTTAATCTTCATTAAGAATCCTAGGAAGGGGGGAGAGAAGGAGAGAGAGAGAGAGAGAGAGAGAGAGAGAGAGAGAGAGAGAGAGAGAGAGAGAGAGAGAGAGAGAGAGTTCTACTGCCCTCGTTTTAGAAATGCAGTGGCTCAAACTCACAAAGGTAAAATAGCATGTCCAGTTCTCTCAGCTGTTGGGTGTTGGAGCTGGTGTTGGCTGGTGTGCTGTCTTGCTGCAGTCCATTGTTTGGACCTTCACACTTGGACTGCCTTGCATGAATGGCATTTGGTGTTACAGGCTGGATAGGAGGAGCTTAAAGGTCACTTAGCCGAGTTGTAGGATCAAGTCTGCCTCTAGGAAGGAGGCTAAAGACTCTAGGTTGTAAATTGTGTTCAGTTGCCCTATGTGATTCTTCATTAAAACAACAACAATAACAAACCCCCAAACAACCTTCTGTTATCCTGAATTAGCTCAAAGGTATGTGTATGGTGAGAGAGAGCAGTAGCTGGGCAGGGTCAGGGAAGAGAGAGTGTGAAGGGAAATGGAAGGGAGTGGAAGGGACCAAATAGTGAAGAGGGCATTTCTGTTCCTATGAACTCTACCTCACTGTCAGTCTCTGCCATCAAAGGTAAAGTTCCTGTGTTTTTATCAACTCTCTCCTTAGTCTTCTTGGTCTGCTCTTTGAGCATTCCATTCTGCATGCCGTTCACTTTTTACTATTGAGGGAGAGGTAAAAGTAAAGTGTAAATGGCTCTTCAACAGGGTAATTGATAGGACCGGCTACAATAGTGTTGGAGTGAGGATGATTCCTGTAGCAATTATTGATAAGCTTGAGAATCCAAGGTTGACTAGGAAGGTTGACTTTCTTCTATGGCTGCCTGTTGAACCCATCGATTCATCAGCTCTGACCCTGCACATCTGTGGTTTGGTTGAAAGTGTGGCCTTCAGTCTTTGATGAGCAACGGACTAATCCACCAGGCTCGTTAGAGCCTACATCAATGGGCAGCCTCCCCAGTTTCTGATGTTTCTGGGTCAGGGTCCAAGGATTTTCACTTCTAATGGGTGTCTACATGCTATTGCTACTTCTCTGGAAACAACAGTTGGGGTTAAGACTTAGATAATTAAAACAAAGCCCAAATACAGCTTTTAATTGGGAAGATGACATTTTAAAAACTAACTAAGCATTGTATTAATGAGAAGGAATTGATGGAGCAAAATCCATAAACAATAAGAAAGATGGACTCACATCTCTCATTATGCATCTGCCTCAGATCTTTTCCTGTCCCTGTCTCTACCCACCTCTGCCTGAATTTGGATGATAAAATACCTATTCACAGAATAATCCAGACCCAAAGTCCTTTAGTACATTGTTTGACCCAAGTATATTGTGGGAAGCCTCTGTAAGAAGATACACTATTCATCTCTCTAGCTTTTGCTATACAGTTGCATTGCATATCTTCTTTCCCTTTCGAAGCTATGTTAGAATGATGGAGAAACTCCATGGAAAGCAACACGTTTGTGTGTAACTGATGAAAAATTTAAATACCAATCAGAAAGTTTCCTTAAAAACTGAAATTTAAACTCAGTCAACTCTTCCATTCTTCCCAAGTGCCAACATGTGTCTTTGTTTTGGCATGCTTGAATCCAAACTATGGACCTTTAAGAACTCCTACAGAAAGATCTTTTTAAAAAATGATTTATTTGCCAGGTGTAGTAACATACACCTTTATTTAAGAGGCAGAGGCAGATGGATTTTTTGGTGAGTTTGAGGCCACCCTGGCCTACATAATGAGTTTTAGGACAGCCAGAGCTACATAGTGAAACTCTGTCTCAACAACAACAACAAAATGAAAATAATTTACTTATTTTTATTTTACTTGTGTGTTTGCCTACATATGCAAGACAGGTATATACTATGCGCATGCCTGATGCCTGACAAGACCAGAAGGGGGCACTGGATCCCCTAACACTGGAGTTACAGAAGGTTGTAGGCAACTATAGGGGTGCTGGAAATCAAACCTGATCCCCTGCAAGAGCAGTAGACACTCTTAACTGCTGATCCATCTCCCCAGACCTCAGAAAGAGCTTGATAGTTTGAAACTTAAATAGAATAATGTTTAATGAGTATCTATCATGTGTTATCAAAGTTCAAGTAGATTCTTATATATCTGATATTTTTGGATTTTTCT